TGAGTCTATGGGCAGTGTTGAGTCTATGGGCAGTGCTGAGTCTATAGGCAGTGTTGAGTCTATGGGCAGTGTTGAGTCTATGGGCAGTGCTGAGTCCATGGGCAGTGTTGAGTCTATGGACAGTGCTGAGTCCATGGGCAGTGTTGAGTCTATGGGCAGTGCTGAGTCTATGGGCAGTGCTGAGTCCATGGGCAGTGTTGGCAGTGTTGAGTCAATGGGCAGTGTAGAGTCTATGGGCAGTGTTGAGTCTATGGGCAGTGTAGAGTCTATGGGCAGTGTTGAGTCTATGAGCAGTGCTGAGTCCATGGGCAGTGTTGAGTCTATGGGCAGTGTTGAGTCTATGGGCAGTGCTGAGTCCATGGGCAGTGTTGAGTCTATGGGCAGTGCTGAGTCTATGGGCAGTGTTGAGTCTATGGGCAGTGTTGCGTCTATGGACAGTGCTGAGTCCATGGGCAGTGTTGAGTCTATGGGCAGTGTTGAGTCTATGGGCAGTGCTGAGTCTATGGGCAGTGCTGAGTCTATGGCCAGTGTTGAGTCTATGGGCAGTGTTGAGTCTATGGGCAGTGCTGAGTCCATGGGCAGTGTTGAGTCTATGGGCAGTGCTGAGTCTATGGGCAGTGTTGAGTCTATGGGCAGTGTTGCGTCTATGGACAGTGCAGAGTCCATGGGCAGTGCTGAGTCCATGGGCAGTGTTGAGTCTATGGGCAGTGCTGAGTCTATGGGCAGTGTTGAGTCTATGGGCAGTGCTGAGTTAATGGGCAGTGTTGAGTCTATGGGCAGTGTTGAGTCTGTGGGCAGTGCTGAGTCTATGGGCAGTGCTGAGTCTATGGGCAGTGTTGAGTCTATGGGCAGTGTTGCGTCTATGGACAGTGCTGAGTCCATGGGCAGTGTTGAGTCTATGGGCAGTGTTGAGTCTATGGGCAGTGTTGAGTCTATGGTGCAGTGTTGAGTCTATGGGCAGTGTTGAGTCTATGGGCAGTGCTGAGTCTATGGGCAGTGTTGAGTCTATGGGCAGTGTTGAGTCTATGGGCAGTGTTGAGTCTATGGGCAGTGCTGAGTCTATAGGCAGTGTTGAGTCTATGGGCAGTGTTGAGTCTATGGGCAGTGCTGAGTCCATGGGCAGTGTTGAGTCTATGGGCAGTGCTGAGTCCATGGGCAGTGTTGAGTCTATGGGCAGTGCTGAGTCTATAGGCAGTGTTGAGTCTATGGGCAGTGTTGAGTCTATGGGCAGTGCTGAGTCCATGGGCAGTGTTGAGTCTATGGGCAGTGCTGAGTCCATGGGCAGTGTTGAGTCTATGGGCAGTGCTGAGTCTATGGGCAGTGCTGAGTCCATGGGCAGTGTTGAGTCTATGGGCAGTGTTGAGTCTATGGGCAGTGTAGAGTCTATGGGCAGTGTTGAGTCTATGGGCAGTGTTGAGTCTATGGGCAGTGCTGAGTCCATGGGCAGTGTTGAGTCTATGGGCAGTGCTGAGTCTATGGGCAGTGTTGAGTCTATGGGCAGTGTTGCGTCTATGGACAGTGCTGAGTCCATGGGCAGTGTTGAGTCTATGGGCAGTGTTGAGTCTATGGGCAGTGCTGAGTCTATGGGCAGTGCTGAGTCTATGGCCAGTGTTGAGTCTATGGGCAGTGTTGAGTCTATGGGCAGTGCTGAGTCCATGGGCAGTGTTGAGTCTATGGGCAGTGCTGAGTCTATGGGCAGTGTTGAGTCTATGGGCAGTGTTGCGTCTATGGACAGTGCAGAGTCCATGGGCAGTGTTGAGTCTATGGGCAGTGTTGAGTCTATGGGCAGTGTTGAGTCTATGGGCAGTGCTGAGTCTATGGCCAGTGTTGAGTCTATGGGCAGTGTTGAGTCTATGGGCAGTGCTGAGTCCATGGGCAGTGTTGAGTCTATGGGCAGTGCTGAGTCTATGGGCAGTGTTGAGTCTATGGGCAGTGCTGAGTTAATGGGCAGTGTTGAGTCTATGGGCAGTGTTGAGTCTGTGGGCAGTGCTGAGTCTATGGTCAGTGTTGAGTCTATGGGCAGTGTTGAGTCTATGGGCAGTGCTGAGTCCATGGGCAGTGTTGAGTCCATGGGCAGTGTTGAGTCTATGGGCAGTGTTGAGTCTGTGGGCAGTGCTGAGTCTATGGGCAGTGCTGAGTCTATGAGCAGTGTTGAGTCTATGGGCAGTGTTGCGTCTATGGACAGTGCTGAGTCCATGGGCAGTGTTGAGTCTATGGGCAGTGTTGAGTCTATGAGCAGTGCTGAGTGCATGGGCAGTGTTGAGTCTATGGGCAGTGTTGAGTCTATGGGCAGTGCTGAGTCCATGGGCAGTGTTGAGTCTATGGGCAGTGCTGAGTCTATGGGCAGTGTTGAGTCTATGGGCAGTGTTGCGTCTATGGACAGTGCTGAGTCCATGGGCAGTGTTGAGTCTATGGGCAGTGTTGAGTCTATGGGCAGTGCTGAGTCTATGGCCAGTGTTGAGTCTATGGGCAGTGTTGAGTCTATGGGCAGTGCTGAGTCCATGGGCAGTGTTGAGTCTATGGGCAGTGCTGAGTCTATGGGCAGTATTGAGTCTATGGGCAGTGCTGAGTTAATGGGCAGTGTTGAGTCTATGGGCAGTGTTGAGTCTGTGGGCAGTGCTGAGTCTATGGTCAGTGTTGAGTCTATGGGCAGTGTTGAGTCTATGGGCAGTGCTGAGTTAATGGGCAGTGTTGAGTCTATGGGCAGTGTTGAGTCTGTGGGCAGTGCTGAGTCCATGGGCAGTGTTGAGTCTATGGGCAGTGCTGAGTCTATGAGCAGTGTTAAGTCTATGGGCAGTACTGAGTTAATGGGCAGTGTTGAGTCTATGGGCAGTGTTGAGTCTGTGGGCAGTGCTGAGTCTATGGGCAGTGTTGAGTCTATGGGCAGTGTTGAGTCTATGGGCAGTGCTGAGTCCATGGGCAGTGTTGAGTCAATGGGCAGTGTTGAGTCCATGGGCAGTGCTGAGTCAATGGGCAGTGCTGAGTCCATGGACAGTGTTGAGTATATGGGCAGTGTTGAGTCTATGGGCAGTGTTGAGTCTATGGGCAGTGCTGAGTCGATGGGCAGTGTGAGTCTATGGGGGTGCTGCTCAATGTACCAGGGGGAGTTGATACTAGTGGGAAGGATGCAAGGAGGGAGAAGGACCGAACAGGGGATTGGGCACAGGGAGACTGAGGGACAGAGAGACACGGAGAGAGGATGGGGAACGAAGAGGACGAGAGGAGGGGACATGGAAGGAGACGAGAGAGGCGAGGTGAGATGAGGTGGGGTAAGGCCATGGAGAGATGTAGAGCCGAGTAATGGTTTGTCCACTGCTGGATGGAGACTTCCATAAGCTGCCGCTATCTCTCACAATAATCCACCTGAGCACTCCCACACGAGCTGATTTCATCTCTGCATCTCCTCGGTGGGATTTGTTCCATTCGGCACCCGGCGCTCACAGCGTTCGTTACACGAGGCAGCAGTTTGAAGTGTATCGGACTGCCACGCGTTCGTTACACGAGGCAGCAGCGCACAGACACCGCCACGGTCCAGGACGTGGGCGCGGTGGGGCTACACAAAGCCATATTAAGGTCACATTCCCTGGCTGAACAGAAATGTCAAGGCATATCAAACATCATATGGATCACAACGGATCAATTCACTCGTAAATGCAAGGCGGGTGAGTGGGATGAGGAATTGTTTACATTAACTTACAAGTAATTATAGAACAGGATAATGCTTAAACAAACATAGCTTTTAAATGTAGCAAAGCAATGTAATCACCAACGTGTGTGGTAAACTAACAAATCGCCTGCGGAACAATATAATGTTCTGTTCACCCGCATGTGTTTAGGCTTCATCAATACGAGGCCTAAACCCAACGATTCCAATCACTGTCCTGTAAGACGACACAAGGAACCCGAGCCGATCCCGTCCGCCTGGTTCACGAACCGGGCTCCTCTTGCTCCCCAGTGGCCGTGGGAACGCGGCCACGTGTCTTCTCACGCATGGCCACACGTGTAGTTCCACGCGTGTCCACGCGTTGCCACGTGTGTGTTCTCACGTGTAGTTCCACGCGTGTCCACGCGTTGCCACGTGTGTTCGAGCTGAGCTGGCGTGACGCGTGCCAGCGCAACGTTCCATCACAGAGCAGAAGACGCAAGCACACGGACACTCGAACACAGGATTCGGCGCACAGCACTTTATTGGACACAGCCATAGGGAGCTGTCGAATTAAGATAGCGAGCGAGAGCTGCGGACCGCAGACGGCCAGCGGGGGTGAAGGGGGGGTCAGTGGGGGGGGGGTCAGTAGGGGGAGGTTTAGTGTGTGGGGGGGTTAGTGAGGGGGGGTCAGTGGGGGGAGGGGGGTCAGTGGAAGGGGTGGGGTGCGCGGATCGCTCCTTGTGAAGCCCCTTGCTGCTGTGCAGAGCAGCGAGACGACACGTGTAGCCGGCCATAGCGGACTCCTCCTCACAGCGGCCCTTCGGGTATTCTCGCTGAAAAAAATAAAACCATTGAGGGCACACATTGTGAGTGCAAGACTCGGTCTTAGTGAATGGATCCATGGTGAGACACGGTCTCTCACGGAGCCAGTTCCCACACAACGCACACATGTAGCTTCAGACGGAACCCACCTGAGCTTGTGACTGCCCGTGAGGAGCAGTTGATGACTCACATCACGTCAATTACGCACCTCTGATTAGCACGGTTGCCTACGTACGGCCCGAAAGAAGCTTAACATACATACATCTCCGATCATTGTGCAAGTGACGCTCTTGCACGCGGTATAAAAGGGAATCCAACCGGTGCACCCAAACGCCATCACGTGGCTCTCCAATCACAGCATGCGGTTATAAGCTCGTCCGTTGATGTTCAAATGTCATGCGAATGAAAGAATGAAGGGTTCCCAGGAGATGCGGGGAATTTCATACAGGTTGTCCCCATGTCTCCGTGCCCCTGTGTCCGTGGGAGGGTGGTGAGGGGAGAGGGGGTGGGCAGGAGCTGGTTCCGATCTCACCAATATCTGGATCCACGCAGCCAGTTCCACACTCGACACGACAGCACTTGTCATTGTCGGGGCAGTCAACGTCGCCACTGCAGTCGTGTTGGTAGTGCAAGCACTTGATCTGAGAGTAGTCCCGGATGGGGCACGAACCGGGCTTTACCACTGAACCTGGCGGACGAGGGCGAGGGATGACAGTTTGGACACGGATAAGCGGGATCACGCGATCAGCCATTCGCGAGGCAACTCGGAGAGGGAGAGTGCGAGTGGTGCACTGGGTATTCCATTCTTCTTCGCATCATCTCCCCGCAAATGGCAGCACAATAATTAACTTTTTCATCCAATGAATCTGTTTTTAACGTCACCAAAATGCTTGTGCCACGCTCGGTGCACCGTGAGGCCAAGAAAAGTTGTCGAAGGCCCGCGGGCAGGATGTCACGGGACAGAACCGGGTGTGCAACGGTATCGATCGACTCTCACATGGCTCTGGATCCAAGCAGCGAATCCCGCACGCGAGGCTGCAGCACTTCTTGTCGCCGGGGCAGTCGGTGTCGTCAGCGCAATCCTCCTCCTCGTCATCCCCTTGTCTGGCGATGCAGTAGGTGTCCTCCACCGGGCACGATCCGACCTTCACTGCGGCCCGCACACGAGGGCGAGGCATGGGAGAGCCATGAGCAACCGACGTGGTCGATCACGCGTGGAGGCCGTGCAGGTCGGTGACTTAGGAGCCCCGTAGAATTGCCAGGGTCTAGCTATGCCGCTCACATAACGTTGAACTTCCGTCGCGCCGTGCGCAATCCAACCTCGCTAATCGGAGGTGCGAATAATGTGGCACTGTTCTGCCCCACAGCAGATATGAGGGTGCGTTTACACAGGAACTTCTTGATATGATGGTGTTGAGTTTGGTCACGTGACCAGGAAGTTACGAGTTGAGAGTCTCTAAGTCACGAGGCCAGGTGGGGGTGTAAGCCATTACACAGAGTACAAAATGGAGGCACAATTAGCACCTCAGTGAAGACAGATTTTTTGCGGGACTTTAAGAAGCATTGTCTGTAAGTTTGTTTATGTTCTTATAATACTGGGAATGCTGCTATAATGTTAGGATTACCGTTATAATGCTGTAAATGCCTTTAAAATGCTAGGCCCCATATGATGAATATGGGGCCTATTTAACAACGAAGCCTGCCATTTGCATTATTGTGAATGTTATTTGTAGTTGTATAAGTCGAGCCAGACTTGTGCCCATGTAACTTTAATGTGTTCTTGAGAGCAAGGATGAAGAAGTATCTCATCCACTGTTCAGTGTTATATGCAGCATTGTACATTTAGGCTGCAGTATGGTGATTACACGAAGTGACCTTATCTAACACAGTAGCTTATTCTCTTGTATAGCTATTCAGTCCTAATGTAGGTGCCTGGTCCATCCAGGACCTATTGTTGAAAATCGTGTTATCGAAGACAATGTTATGATGTTGTAGTGTTCATTTATTGTATTGATATTGCAAGTATTAATGGATGCTGTATTTTGTGCTGTGTTTGTTAATCAGTTTTACTTCGTTCTATTAATTAAATACGTTGGACCCGGATGTTCACCCTGGCTCTGAAGGTTTATTGAATGCGAGGTTAACTACTCGGATAGTGGTGCAATGCAGCGCACAGCGAGGCCGAGACAGGCGGATTCATCTCCATCTGTTGTCGTTTGTGTGGGGTTTCTCTGGGGACTCCCGTTTCCTCCCCCCATGTATCAAAGACTCGTTAATTGCCTGCAAACATTTTTACGTGTAGAAGGCGGCAGAGCTTGGGAAATGGTTGGTACCAGCACACCTTTACCATTCCTGCTCGCCTGCGGTTTTCCCGCGCTTTTGACTCGTAACACGTGTGCATTACACATACGTGCGGTATACACGTGTGCGTTACACATGCGTGCGGTAACACGTGTGCGTTACACGTGTGTGCGGTACACGTGTGTGTGTTACACATGTGTGCGGTACAAGTGTGCGTTACACATGCGTGCGGTAACACATGTGTGCGTTACACACGCGTGCCAGTGTCGTTAGAAGGCTGTACGACCCACGAGCGATAGGTTTTAATTGCGTCAGAATCAGAATATTTACGTCGACTGGACGAATCATCATCATCACCACAGAAAGATGCACAATTAACTTAAAAAATGTTATGCACTGAATCCACCTCCTCTCAACGCTGTGGACTATGACGATTTTGTGGCTCATCAATGATATATTTTTTAGCAGGACAGCCCTCAATGGGAAGCACAGCAGAGTGCGTGTACCGAGGGCAGTTAATGCAGGCGACCGGGATCGAGGTGACGGCACAGTGAGGTGGACGAGAGCGAACCTGCAGATTGAAAGCAACAGACCACGTGCCCAATGAAGATTCAATCGGCGCATATCGCCTGCTGTGACGCACTGATCAGAAGCGTGGACGGTCACAAAGAGGATGGAACAGAAGCGTGCGAAGAAGCACTGAGAGGTGTATGCTTGGAACAGCGCTGAGAGGAAGAGAGACGACTAAGGATGGGATGGCAGTTGCTTCATGTGACCGCGAGAGCTGGAAAGGCCTTGGGGAGAGGCCTTCATCCAGCAGTGGATAGATCACGGCTGCCGATGCAAGTGATGAGCATGGCAACAGTGACGATGGCGCGATCTTCCTTCCCCTGGCTGGGGAGTGATCGAGGCTGGCGTACCTGGCTTTCTGCAGATCATCAGGCAGCCGGAGCTGCAGCACTTCTCTTTACCGGGGCACTGCCAGTCCTGCTGGCATCGGTTGAGGTCGGGTCGGTACGCGCATTTGATGAGCTGGGCGTTGACATACGGACAAAATCCGGGCTTGCGTTTCACTGGTGAAATGATCGCACAGCAACAGGGCCACGTGAGCAGCTGCTCCCCCGCCGCAGCATTTGGCGAGCCGTCGAACAAAGACGGTTGCCGCATCGCGCGTTTTCAGGTGCGCGTCTGCGGCCGTCTGGAACGCTCTGGGAGCGATGCACTTTGAAACCATCTAGATTGACAAACGAATTTCTTAAGAACTGCTTTTTTGTTGTGTGTGTTTAGGTTGTTGTCCTTCCCCCGCACCTCCGATTAGCACAGTTGGAACAAGTTCAACATAGATGCGTGAGGATGTTAGGCATCCTTGGATAGCGCCTCTGTAGGCCATGGGGACGGTGACGTGGATATCACGGACACCACCACCGCCACGAGGGAGCGCGCTCGGGAGAAGGAAGCGAGGGAGTGGCGTTGATTGGACGTCATCGTTCAGGACGATCAGATGTATCGAACAAAGTGCCACCTTTGGAGTCCTTCATCACACCTGCACAACATCAATAACAATCTAACAAGACACACACCCCGCAGTAAGCCCCCAGAGCGGGAGAGTGACGGCGAGTCGCGTTCTCAGTCGACGTCAGTTGCTAAGCTCGCGATGAATTTCCATCTAACGTCCAACTTGCACGCTGGATGCTAACACGGTCTTTTGCATCGATTGAATTACCCCAAACACTGCCCCCGCTACAGTGCACGATGATTTGGAGGATGGACAACGTGAAAAGCGCCCCGCTCCTTGCAACGGTCAAAGATTGACCCCCTCTGAGGGAGTTTCTTTTGTACAACCCAAAAATTTGGCGTTTCCCACGAGCACGATTTCTCACTACATTTTCGTTGAACTGTTTCGAAACCCAGGGAGGGTTTCGAAACCCAGGGAGGGTTTCGAAACAGTGGACGAGTTATGTTTGTTGTTCAATATCAATACGAATGTCTGACTTGATCACACAAAACGAGCACCCCACCCCGCCCCCTTTACCAAGCGCGTTCATCAGCTCCAGTGTCAAATGCCGCGAGAGGTGGCGGAGGACTGGGGGGCCTTCATCCAGCAGTGGATGTATCACGGCTGCCGATGTTAATTTACAGAGGGTGGTGATGATGGAACAGCCGTCGGCGTGGCGTGCCTGGTTTCGTGCATTCCTTCCTGCAGCCTGTGTTACAACATTTCCTGTCGCCCTGGCAGTCCTGGTCGTCCGCGCATTTGTTGTCGTGGGATTCGCAGCGGATGTTGCTCATGTTGACGAAGGCACAGGCGCCGGGCTTGTCTTTGAGACGCATTCAAACAGAAAATTGGGAATCGTTTCACTCACGCTGCTTTCACATCGACACGGCCCAAGCGTCTCGCCACTCCTGTCCTGCCCTCCACTCACTCGATGCTGCTGCAGTTGCTACTGCTGCTGCACAGGAGACACGGGACCTCCAAGATCTGCCCTGACGGTTTCACACCATTTGCTCTTCGATAGACTGGCACACGAGCACCCTCAGACTCATGTAAAAAAAACGTAGACTCACATAGAGACTCGTAGACTCACACCGAGGGGTGTAGACTCACACAGAGACCCACAGACTCAGACAGAGACCCTCGGACTCAGATAAATAACAATAGACTAACACAGAGACCAATAGACTCAAACAGAGACCCATAGACTCAAACAGAGACCCAGTCTCACATAGAGACCCAGTCTCACACAGAGACCCATAGACTCACACAGAGACCCTAAGACTCAGATAACGAACCATAGACGAACAAAGAGACCCAAAGATTCACGTGGATTATCTGGTTCGATGTGTCAACATCACTACTCGGGGACAAAGGCGGCCGGGCCTGGTGCTGACCACCCACCCCCTGGTGTGCCGTGCCCGGCCTTCAACACGTGCTGCTCGCGAACAGCACTTGCCCCCTTACAGGCTGTTGCAGGCGATAGCGGGGGAACTTCGCCTTTGTCGAGGCGCGTGGGGGGTGGGGGGGAGCGTGCCGCACCTGGCCGCACGGGCTCCATGCAGGTACGGCCACAGCCGTTGCTGCAGCATTTCTGCTCTCCTGTGCAGCTGTCGTCGTCTTCGCAGAGGTTGACGCAGATGCCGATGGTGCCAGGCCGCTGCTTTGGGCAGGAGCCAGGTTTATCAGCCGCTGTCAGAAAAAGCAATACGAATGAACACAAATCGATGCAATTCATTGAATGGACATCGTCGGCACCGCTCGCCACGTGTCGTGTGTTCTGCTCGTGGATGTGACCGGTTCTCCATAACGGGTAACATCAGCGTTCCCCTACCCCTTTACACGCTGACCCCCAATCCCTGCACCCATTTGACCGGGAGTGGCCCCTGCGATGTGGCAATATTCGATTGGTGGCGGGAGACGTGGATACATGATGGTCTGAGATGTAACGATATGTTGGGTGGTGTCTGTGAGTTGACAGGGATGAGCTGGAAGGGGGTGGGGAGGTAATGAGAGAGATGACCGTGGGGATAGGGGGACGGAGGAAGAATAAAGGGACTGGTGCGTTGTGTTTTGGTGAGGAGATTGACAGTTAACGGGGATTTGAGGGAGGTTGGGAGGGGTGAAACGGGAGTGGGGGTCACGCAATTGGCGCTGGCGAATTCCGTACGAGCGCTCCCTTGCCGGTAGCAAACCAGGGAGCTAATGGGCCCAGAGTGGGCGAAAACGAGGAAGGAGAGGCCACAGGGAGGGCGAGCTGGAGAGTCGTCGCGTGTGGACGAACGTGAAGTCGAAGTGTTCCACGGGAACTCTCCCTGGTTCTCGTGCCACCGAAGTGTTCCACGGGAACTCTCCCGGGTTCTCGTGCCAGCGAAGTGTTCCACGGGAACTCTCCCTGGTTCTCGTGCCACCGAAGTGTTCCACGGGAACTCTCCCTGGTTCTCGTGCCACCGAAGTGTTCCACGGGAACTCTCCCGGGTTCTTGTGCCAGCGAAGTGTTCCACGGGAACTCTCCCTGGTTCTCGTGCCACCGCGCCTTCGCACACGGCATCGAGTCGCCCCAGAAAGTCCGCCTCTGCCCAGCCAAACCCGAGGTGAAAGATTAAAATGTTACACAGTCTGTGTCGTCTTGTCCTTAATATTGTTGGTGGTGAGCTGTGGGTGTGCAAGTGACTATCAACCCATGGCACCTGCAGGGTCTATCCCGTGACCTGCCAGCGGGCGTTCGACACTTCACGTGGCCTTAACGTGCACATAGCCTGGCACAAGCGTGTTGTGTATAGGCTAGCAATAGTAATATTGTGTACCCACGTGGTGTTGTGTATAGGCTAGCGACTGCAGAGTGTGTACCCACGTGGTGTTGTGTATAGGCTAGCAACAGTGATAGTGTATACCCACGTGGTGTGTATAGGCTAGGAAGAGTAATAGTGTGTAGTGTTGTGTATAGGCTAGCAACAGTAATAGTGTGTACCCACGTAGTGTTGTGTATAGGCTCGCAACAGTAATAGTGTGTACCCACGTGGTGTTGTGTATAGGCTAGCAACAGTAATAGTGTGTACCCACGTGGTGTTGTGTATAGGCTAGCAACAGTAATAGTGTGTACCCACGTGGTGTTGTGTATAGGCTAGCACCAGTAATAGTGTGTAGTGTTGTGTATAGGCTAGCAACAGTAATAGTGTGTACCCACGTAGTAATAAAGAATTAAAGCTTTCGTGACTGCATAAATTACTCATTGTTTTTTTCAGTAAAGTCACGTATGTTGAAATACGTATAACACACTTCTACGGGGAAGTTACCTTTACAATTCTGTCCTAAACTTATTGCACCCGCTTACATTTTCCTGCCCCTTCCCCCCTCTTCTGCTGCTGCCGTGCCCCTTGTTTTCTTCGGCCCCTCCCCCCACCTCTACTGCTTATTTTAAGCCTCTGTCTGTTCATCCCTCCGGCCCCTTTCTCTTGCTTCTCTGTCCGTCTTTCCTCTTCTTACCTCTTGTGTCCCTGTATATGTATTTCTGCTATCTTGTACCTCGTATTTGTTCACACTGTCTATGCTGGTATGTTCAACCCAGAGGATGAACACGAAATTTAGCACTCTTCTGAAATTCGTGGTCTGCCAGGCAAGTGTCTGTGTCGTTGGCCGACTGGTTTTGCATCACGTAAATTTTTCTTAGGTTTGTTGAATTCTCGTCTCTCTTCTTGTTGTATTTACCTCCGTGCAGTTTAACGCTCTCTATGTGTTGCGTTGATGTCACCCTATGTGCTATTTGTTTTTTACACCTGATGAAGATCGCTTGTGTTGCGGTCAAAACGTCGTGATTGATTTATTTCAATATAATTTTATGGTATTTCTACATACGTGATTTTACCGAAAAAACCAATGAGTACCCACGTGGTGTTGTGTATAGGCTAGCAACAGTAATAGTGAGTACCCACGTGGTGTTGTGTATAGGCTAGCAACAGTGATAGTGTGTACCCACGTGGTGTTGTGTATAGGCTAGCAACAGTAATAATGTGTAACCACGTAGTGTTGTGTATAGGCTAGCAACAGTAATAATGTGTACCCACGTGGTGTTGTGTATAGGCTAGCAACAGTAATAGTGTGTACCCACGTGGTGTTGTGTATAGGCTAGCAACAGTGATAGTGTGTACCCACGTGGTGTTGTGTATAGGCTAGCAACAGTGATAGTGTGTACCCACGTGGTGTTGTGTATAGGCTAGCAACAGTAATAGTGTGTACCCACGTGGTGTTGTGTATAGGCTAGCAACAGTGATAGTGTGTACCCACCTGGTGTTGTGTATAGGCTAGCAACAGTAATAATGTGTACCCACGTAGTGTTGTGTATAGGCTAGCAACAGTAATAGTGTGTACCCACGTGGTGTTGTGTATAGGCTAGCAACAGTGATAGTGTGTACCCACGTGGTGTTGTGTATAGGCTAGCAACAGTAATAATGTGTACCCACGTAGTGTTGTGTATAGGCTAGCAACAGTAATAGTGAGTACCCACGTGGTGTTGTGTATAGGCTAGCAACAGTGATAGTGTGTACCCACGTGGTGTTGTGTATAGGCTAGCAACAGTAATAGTGTGTACCCACGTGGTGTTGTGTATAGGTTAGCAACAGTGATAGTGTGTACCCACCTGGTGTTGTGTATAGGCTAGCAACAGTAATGTGTACCCACGTAGTGTTGTGTATAGGCTAGCAACAGTAATAGTGTGTACCCACGTGGTGTTGTGTATAGGCTAGCAACAGTGATAGTGTGTACCCACGTGGTGTCGCCCTTGGCGATCTCTCATTTCAGAGTTTGGAGGCTGTCCCTTCCAAATGACTGTTTGACGGGGCTGTCCGGTCCAGGTTACAGCTGGTCACAGTATTCTGGCAATTTTGTTGGATTCGACTATTTTTTTCTGGCTGCGCATCATTTCATGTACAGGCTGGGCTGGAACTTTGCTGGTCAAGCTTTTTTTACTGTCTGTAAGACTTTACATCAGTTAGTTTAACACGTAGGCTTTCGCCACCAATATGATCCATAAAAGGTTTTTTCTTCCATCAGTTGCCAGAGTTCGGGTTAATACTGAGCTCATCGAAGACGTTGCCGACTTGCTAATGCTGCTTGCCCTCCCAGATTGCTCTCTGTCTCTATCGGGGCTCTGCCTTTTTTGCCTGACCCGAAGCAGTCCCCTTTTAAAATATATATTCAGTTAAATTACCAATACTCATGTAAAAAAGTTGAATTCACATCGCATGTAAAACCAAATCAGGATCATGTAGAACAACTTAACGATCAACTTAACGATCTTCTGTCCGTCAAACTATTGAAGTTTGCGGATGACACCACCCTCATTGGGCTGATCTCTGGTGGGGATGAGTCTGACTATAGGTGGGAAGCTGACAATCTGGTGACCTGGTGTAGCCAGAACAACTTAGAGCTAAATGCTCTAAAGACAGTTGAGATGGTTGTGGACTTCAGGAAGAATACAGCCCCACTCACCCCCATCACCCTGTTAGACTCCCCAGTCAAAATTGTAGAGTCCTTCCGCTTCCTGGGCACTATTCTCTCCCGGGACCTCAAGTCGGAACTGAACATCAGCTCCCTCACCAAGAAAGCTCAACAGAGGATGTACTTTCTACGGCAGCTGAAGAAATTCAACCTGCCAAAGACAATGATGGTGCAATTCTATACAGCGATCATTGAATCCATCCTCACCTCCTCCATAACCGTCTGGTACGCTGCTGCCACTGCCAAGGACAAGAGCAGACTGCAGCGTATCATCCACACTGCTGAGAAGGTAATTGCCTGCAATCTACCAACCCTCGAGGACCTGCACACGACAAGGTCCATGAGGCGAGCGAGGAAGATTATGGCCGATTTCTCCCACTCTGGACACTCTGTTTCAGCTACTCCCCTCCGGCAGAAGGCTTCGGTCCATCAGGACCAAAACCTCACGCCATAAAAACAGTTTCTTCCCATCTGCTGCTGGCCTGTTAAACAAGGCCAAGGGCTTACACTGTTTTTAACATTTTATCTATATAATGACACCTTGCCGATATTAACTATGTTAACCTATTTGTATTTTTTATTTTTAAATTATATCTTAAAGCTATTTTATATTCGATATTTATTCAATTTTATATACTTCAGCCCCTTGGTGTTAGACTTTTAACCCTTATTATAGTAAGACTTGTTTAAAACTTATTTAAGATTTTAGATTCCTATATGTTGAATGTATGCACCATCCTGCCAAAGTAAATTCCGTGTCGGTGTGAACTTACATGGCGAATAAAACCTTTTCTGATTCTGATTCTGATTCAAAAAGCTGTTCAGGGTTACCCATTAAAACACAAAAGCAGCTCACTTGGACTAAATAATATACAAAATGAAAACACAAATTTGGCCGAGCGAACAGTGGCATGACACACCATGTTCATCCAGTCTCAACCACCACCGCCACCCTCCAAGTTGTTGAATTGTTCTGCAATTAGGTAATGATTGAAGGCAGGGACATCTATAATTTTAAGCAAACAGGAAAAAAGAAAACATGGGTGGAGTGACGAGGAGAGCAGTTGTGGGGAGTAGGGAGGGGGGCACTAGCCCCCCACACAGTGCCCCCCTCCCCACAACGTACTGTGTGTGGGGGCACTAGCCCCCCACACAGTACGTTCTTGACTGGATTCAAGAAGGGAAGGAAATCGGCAGCAAAGAGACACAGGGGTAGGGAATTCCGGACAACAGGGGCAGCAGTTTCTAAGACTCTCACAGTTTGGAAGCTGCGGGTTTGGGTTTCCTGTAGAGACCGAGGTCCTCTCGAGCCAAGTACCAAGTCGAGAGTGCACAGAAACACTGCCCATATTTATTGTATGGAAGCGATGGGGCAGCCTTACCTTACTGGGGCCCAAAATAGGATCTATTTGCAGAGCCACACATTAACACACGCTTTAGTCACTTCTGTTACTGCAAGAAGGCCCTAACAAGATGTAATGCACACTCTCTGCTCGGTCTTCCCTCCACCGAGATACTTTCTCTAACCAAGCAGAGGTCGCGCTCTCACCGGCCGACAGTGACAGCATCAGGAGCTGCAGCACCATCAGCAGCAGAGCAAGATGCAGGGAAGCGGAGACGCGCGCCATCGTCCCCGAGTCGCAGAGAGAGCGTGGGCGTTGGAGGTGCTGGTAGCTGTGGGTGCTGCTGCTGCTGCACGGTGGTTCTGATTTATAGAGCTGTCCCTGTTTACCGGCCCCCGCTCCGACCCCCCACTCCCCCACCACGAGGGTGGACCAGGGCCAGACCTACACCCCCTCTGCCATTGCCGGGCCTCTCAGATGGGCAATGGCTGCGACAGCTCTCCGCTTCGCCGGCATTGTCCAGCAGCCCACCACGCGTTCCTCACCGAGCTGACACGTCACAGGAGAATGACGTGGCAGGTCACCGTGCCCTCCCATCACTTGACATGCCACAAGATAATTGATGTGACCGGTCACGGTGCCCTCCACTCACCTGACCTGACACGTCACAAGAGAATGACGTGGCAGATCACCGTGCCCTATTCACCATCACGGAGGTGACACGTCACACAGGAGATTGTTGTGACAGCTCCATCGTTAACGTCCTCTCCATCCACCGTGCTGCCACATCACAAACGCAATGGGGTGGCGTGGAATGTCCAAGGCGACGCAGCCTCTCGCGTCTCCAAAGGCTGTAACTCATGCCCGGTCCTTCGAAGCTGGAGTCATACCTGGGCTCAGATCCAGCGTGGCAGCACACTGCTCGTGCCGCGTGGCAGCACACTGCCACCACGCGTGCCTCACGGCCTGAGTTTGATTCTCAACACGAGCGTCTTTCCGTTCGGAGACCTATTTTCTCCCCCTGTTCTGCACGAATGGGTTTTCTCCGGATTTCTCGAGTTTCCACTTATAGCCAAAGCACACACACGCACAGTATATCGGGGTATGGGCCAAGCATCCCAATGCTTCAATATACCTCTGCAAATCACTCGATTGGGATTGCACACAGCAGCAACATCGCCCCCTGCTGTGAAAACTTGGCAGGACCCTCCTGAGAGACCTTCTGAGGCTTTCCCCAGTACACCAGCCGGGGGCAGCCCTGAAATGTCAAGCTTTTTTAATCAGTGCCCCCCTACATTAACATCAACAAAAACCGTAAACACATTCAATGTATTTATATATTTTTCTCTGGTAGACATGAATAGAACACCAATTTGTCGAGTTCACAGGGAGATGTGCCACCACTGTCGGGAGTCACAAGTGGGGAAGGCATCACAAGAGATTCGCGTCGTTGCGGAGTATATTGGAAGAAACCGGACGCGAGACATTTTGCGCGACATCCCGAACCAATAATAAAGTGTTGAGAGGCTCGGCTCGAAGCCACGCTCAGCCCGGATGACGGGTGGATGCAATCCGCCGCAGATGGCAAACCCTGCAAAAGTGCCACTCTGCCCCCGTTGCCACTCTGCCCCCGGTGCCACTGTGCCCCCGGTGCCAACGCACCCTGCACGACGCTCACCGCCTCCCTTCCCCACATCTATGAGCCAGTGTTGTAAATTCCACATTATCATGGCAAGGGCTCATTTGTCCCTTCCACAGTTGACCGCTGTTAACGTACCACATAATGGTACTCATTTGAACAGCCCCAGGGCTGATTAAGTGCTCAAGTCGAAACCCGACCCATTTTTTTAAAAGCACGCACGACCGGCACACCACCGGCCGGGCGTGCGGCGTGTGTGCGTGCGCACATACGTGTACATGCACATACGTGTACATGCACATACGTATGTGCATGCATATACGTATGTGCATGCACGCAAGTATCCACGCCGGTCCCATACAAACGGAAGCGGCCGTCATCCTCTTCTGTATGGAATTGTCACTCGTGGAAAAACTTCCGAGTTTGTGAGATGCAGTTCCACGCGGTCTCTCTTGGACTCCAGGTGATCTGTGCTAAGTGCCGAATGGGCTGTACCAGGCACTCCGTGCCACATGTCCCACAGCGTCTGATCTTTGCCCGGGTTCCCAGGTGGTTGTGTTGCAATCCACGTGCTGGCCGCTGCCTGCCGAGCACCAGGCAACCACGTGCTACTCTCTGTGTGCCAGTGCTCTGCGTGTCACGCTCCAAACTCCTTGTGCTATGCTCCAAACTCCATGTGCCAGTGCTCCTTGTGCCATACTCCGAAGCTCCATGTGCCAGTGCTCCATGTGCCAATGTTCCAAGCTCCACGTGCGAGTGCTCCGTGCCGGGTGTTCCGAACGGTCCGCGTTGGGCGCTCCGATCCGGACGATCTCGTGGCTCGACGCGTGCCGCAGTGGGGTTCGATTGTGACCCCCGTCTATCTGTTGACCCCCTCCCCCCCCTTCGCTGTGGGTAACTGACCCCTCGACCCCACAGCCAGCTCGGGTCATTGTTCTGTTCCCATGCCTGCAATCATCCCGAGAGGTTGCCCTCGAGTCTCGAGTGACCTCATTAGTCAACCACGATCAATCCACTGCTGGATGACGACCTCCCCCAGTCTTGTGCATTAATATCGGCACGTAACATCGAGTAGGGTTCTAAGAACCCTTGCACAAACACCCTAAACGAACCCTATATAGTATTCTAACCCCGGAGGTTGGGTGGGAGGTAATTATTCCATGGGGAAGTCCTATTGCTTCAACAGTATTTGTACAATTCTGACGCTGGGGTCAAAATTCTATGGGGGGGGGGGTCAAACCACCCCCTTGCGCCGGCGCATGGAGCATACGAGACCCCCCCCCCCACCCCGTGCCCCCTTGAGCTAGTTCAAGCCGCCCCTCCCTCCCTCCCTCCACGCCAGGTCGGGTCATTCTTCTCTTGGTGGGCTGCAATGCCGCTCCGAGTTGGCCCGTTAGTCGTGTACCATCATCGACCCCCGGGAATTCTACCAACGATCTCGAGCTCCACGGGTTGGGGAGGGGGGGGGGGGTGCTGCCGTCAGTGCCGTGGAGAAAATCGTGGGGCGTGGGGGGCCTCGGTGAACGACTTGAGCTCCACGGAGCCCGAGTCGGCGTCCAGCGACTTGCGTGAGAACAGCAGGCGCACGTCCGAGTGCAGGAACAGCTTCCCCGAGCGCGAGCTCAGGAACCTGATGGGGTGGGGGTGGTTGGTAACGGGGTCACGTGCGGAATAACGTGGTACAGACATGCGTAGAGCCACTATCGCCATCGCTAGCATCCCCACCACTACCAAAAAAACTTAAGGACAAAGATCGCCTGTATAGCCTTAAGAGACTGCTGGGGCAAGTGCTGTTAGCGAGCACCTATGAAGGCTGGCATGGCACACGAGGGGGGTGGGTGGCCGACACCACACCCAGGCGCATTTGTCTCCCCAGGGGCGATGTTTACACACCGAACCAGCTACTTCTTTGAGGCTGATTCGACCAAGGGGAGGCCCAGGGCCGGTTCAGATATAGGTCACCGGTGTTGGCCATAAGCGGCAATCGAACCCGGGTCGCCGGGTTCATAGTACAGCGCTCTAACCGCCATACCACAGCTCCCCACACCACTACCACCACTATACACCTCCCTCCCTCCCTCCCTCATCTCCAGCTCACCTGAGGTGTATAAGGTAATGCAGGGCTCTGTGCGCGGTGCTACTGCTGCTGCTGCTGGTTGTGGTGGTGGTGGGGAGGGGGTCGTGCGCCGCGGGGGCCGAGGCGGTGGCGGCCGCCCCCCCCGGCGGGCGCCGGCCCACGGGCACAGAGAAGGTGCGCTGACGCAGGAAGGTGTGGTGCTCGGGTGGCATGTCGCGCAGGTCGTAGATCACCACAAACATCTTCACCACCGAGCCGCTTGGGTTAAACAGGGTCTGCCGGGGGAAAGGGGGCAGGGGGGGGTCAGGGGTGAGGATGGTGAGCAGATGGAGGGGGGTGATGCAGGGGGGTGAGAACAGGGCACGTTATGAGACTTGTGCTACACTCCGGTCATGCAGTGCAGTGCTGGTTGTGCGGTATCGGTAGTGCAATGCGCTTCTGGCAGTGCAGTGCTGGTAGTGCAGTGATGTACGTATGCACGCCGAACTTCTTTCGCGCCATACGGAGCCAACCGTGCTAATCGGAGGTGCGTGGGAAGGACAGCAAACGCAACACAAAAAACTGTTCTAAAGTAATGAGCGCTGGAAGTGCTCATTACTTTAGAACAGGTCCGCCAGTGCACATCTGCCAGTGCGATTCTGCTACTGCACCGGGCTAAGCCACGGCCGTGCGAGTGCACTGCTCGTCGTGCACCAATCCCGTGCCGCCGGCGGCGGCGGCGGCGTCGGCGCTCACCATCTGGATGGTGCCGGCGCGCGGCACCTGGTACCCACGCACGCCCAGCGGGCGCAGGTCGACGACGCCCAGGTACGGCGAGGGCGCCGCATCCTCCGCCACGGAGAAGAAGGAGGCGAGCACAGGCAGCGACGCGTGCCTCGGGCAGAACGAGCCGCTGGCGCCCAGCTCCACCGTGAAGCCGTCCACGTAGCCTGCCGGGGGCAGACGGCCCTGCAGCGCCGACTCCTGCGCGTCGTGCATGCGTGTGGTAAGGGGAGCCGTGGCGCGGTGGTTAGCGCGCCACACTTCGAACCCAGCGACCCCAGTTCGATTCCTGCTCACGGTCACCAACACCGGTGATGATTGCCTGAGCCGGTCCTGCGCCACCCCTAGGCCGACTCATCCTTAAGTGAGTACCTGGTGCGGTTTTTATACATCGCCATTGGGGAGACAAAGGCGGTCGGGCGTGGTACTGGCCAGCCACCGGCTCGTTGGCCGTGCCGGCCATTACAGGTACTCGGTAACAGCTCTTGCCCTAACAGTCTGTTGAGGCCATACGGGGGATCTTTGTGTGCGTGCGTGCATGTGTGAGATGGATGGTGGCAATGGGGGCCGATTTCCCGTGCGAGCATTTCGAGCCGTCTCGAAAAATCCGATCGTGGCTATGTGCGGTGTTCGCACCGACGGAACGGATGCTTCCACCCCCCACCCCCCCGTCTCCTCCTCCCCCCCAACTTCTCACCTCGAAGCTGCCTAGAAGGCCGAGGTGGTGGGGGGCACGGGGTTTAGGCAGGGGCAGTGGTGTGGGCGACTCCCTGCCGCCGTCGACACGGGCCACTCCTCGCCACCTGTACAGCCACACAGGAAGTGAAACTCACACTTGGCTTGGCTTCCTGTGTGCCCTCGGTCAACACCGCGTCTACCAGAGGAAGTAAACGTGCCCAGAAAGATCTGGCGGTTAACCAGCATTGGTTCAAACAAAGCCTGACGCAGCCGATGAGACGCTGAATGTCGCAACCGGTCCAGATTTAGTTTTTGTTGAAATAATGTTACTGAAGCGTGATGTCTCATAATTTACTCTGTGCAAAATCCACTGTAGTAGACGAATTTCCATCTGGTACAAATAAAATGGGAGGCTGATCGATGCCCAGCTGCGGTCAAGGGATGGCTCCCTATTGGTCAACCATGTTATGCATGCTCACTATCTGATAATTGCTGCTCACTCTACGGAGTTGGAGATGCGACTGCTGAACTTGTAACATGCCACTAAGAGATGGTGCCATGCCGTCAGCCCAACAAACACAAAGCACCTGTCTGGGTATTTTTTGTCATCAACCACTCTCTCACCTCAGCTCCCCATAAGTTATGGGGCAGTTCTAGGGAGAGTGGAGAAGTTTCCAGACTTGGGGATTGTGCTTATGACCAGGTCCAGTTTGGCAGCAGAGGTCTCACTCCAAATCAGTCAGGCGACATTATCTTTTCATGGGCTGTGTAACGCTGTGTGGAAGCTACCTGGTCTAGCACGCCATATAAAGCTCTTCTCAGACACAATTATGCCCTGCCTTTTTTATGCTTGCAAAACGTGCAGCCCTTTAAATAAATATTTGCGCTGGTTTGGAACATTCAGGCTGGCCTGCCTATGATCCATTCTGGGTTTAACCAGACTGGATTGTGTGAGCTTACAGATCCTTGAAAGATCTGGACACATTCCTATCAGTGAGCTCCTCCAGCAGCCAAGGTTGCATTGGCTGGGTCATGTAGCCTGCATGTTCAGCCACCGCATGCCCAAGCAGCTTCTGTTTGGCTGGATAGAGGAGACTAAACGAGCACAGTATGGGCTTGAGAAGAAATGGACTGATACGGTATGAGAGGATGTGGAGCTGATTGGACTTGACAATGACTGGTACCAGCGGTGTCAAGATGAGCCTCTGTGGAGGAGGCTCGTGAAAGACGCTACTGGTCAGGTGGAGGCAGTCGCCCTCCAGCAAGAGCGGAGGGCAGAGGCGATGCGCACAAGCGGAGTGCCAGGCGGCTAAAACGCAGCGAGTTAGCACAGTGGTGACCACAGGTGGTGCATCTGCCCTTTGTCTCAATAAGTCAACCCTTGGCACCTGGGTCTGTTCCTTGACGTCCTACCGGCGAGACTTTGACACTTCACGTGGCATCAAGGTGCACATAGCCTGGCACAATGCTGTGCTGATCACACCAGCAGTAGTGGTGAAAGGCGGTTCTTATTGTTGTTATACGTGTGTATACCTGCGTATGTGCATCTGTGTGTGCGTACGTGCATGTGTCTATGCGCATCTGTGCGTGCGAGTGTGTCGCCACTCACGTGCCAAACAGCCCCATGGTTCGGAGCACCGCAGATGGGCGATCGGGGCATTCGGGAAAACACCTTCGCGCAGGAACCTAGCGGCAAGCGGAAAACACGCACACGCGCGCCGGACACACAAACACGCACGCGTTTACATACACGTAGCGACAGAGGCAATTAGAGAGACAGCGATCCACGTGACGCCAGGCAGCCTGTGCTGCCATCTGAGATCTGTCCGCCCCCTGAACTCTCTGCCTGTGCGGCGCTCACGGACAATCGAGCAGTCACGAGGGGCTGGGCATCGAGTCGCCAATTTGCGGCCAATGAGGAGCCGGCGCCGGTAGTTAGCCGGGCGGTGGCGAGGGTTGATGGATCACGCACGAATGTTGTGAAACTCCCTTCCCGTGGGCGTCGACGAGGTGCCATGCCCAGGCCTGCCAGGAGAAGAAGCTACGGAAAACGAGGACTCCACCGGTTCCGTCTGTACGGGATAGAGCAGTCCGTGGCCATTACGCTATCGCGATCTATGGATGTATCGCAACCTATTTTTCGTAGACCTCAGGACAGATCAAACAGTCTAAGCACATAATAGCAGTGTGTAGAGTGCTGGGTCATGATTGGCTTAGGGCAGATGGGCAGTACTGTAGGCTCGGCCCCTTCCTCCGGATATGCGTAGAGGGACACATGTGGAAAGACACATGTGGAAAAACACACGTAGAGGGACACGCGTAGAGGGAAACGTGTAGAGGGACACGTGACTGCATCCCAGAGTAACGTGGTGCATTGAGAAGTGAGGACGTGTGCACACAGAGCTCAGATATTTGAATTATAATATAGAGCCATCGGTAATCATAGCGTAACACACACTCGCACACACACATCCAGTTCTATGGCGTAAATAGACTTGTTAAAGCTGCTAAGATGGTAACAATGAACGACATTTTATAGCACGTAGAACAGAGGGCGTTGTTAGGGAGCAGGGAAGGAGGCGTGCTGTGTCCACTGGCAATCGAGCCGAGTGAACCATGGCACATTGTTGAGCTTGTGCTGTACACATGGTAAAGCCTGAGTAGGGCCAAGTGATGCTCGGTGTTGTGTGTTACATGGTTGGTTATATATGGTTGGTGAAGTTTGAATGCTTAGTTAATACAGAAGCTGCTAATGCAAAGTACAGTTAATGAATTCATTAATTTATAGCGACGTTATTAGCGTCACCTGTACGTCGCTGTGCTGTGCCGGGGCGTTGGCGCTGGGCGGTGGCGGCGTTGGCAACCGGTGGTGCCACGAGGCTAGGCCCGGCAGCCAGGGCGGAACGCTCCGCTTGGTCGGGGGCGACCGGCAGCCCGGGCCGCCCTCCCCTGCCGGCTCCTCGTCCCCCGGCGCCATGAGCAGCTTGCGCTTCACCGCCGCCGCTTTGGCGAGCGCCTGCTGGGGGTTTGTTCGGGCCGGGACCCCCTCGGGGGTTGCCCCCCCTCGCCGGGCCCAGCTCTCGGGCGTCCCATCACCTTCGGCGCCAGCGCCACTCGGCGACGCGGAACGGAGGCGCTTGGGGAACCGCGGCGCCGGCTCCAGCGTCCTCCTGGGCCCCCGCGCCACGTCGGCAGGTGGCGCCGGAGCGGGGGTGGCCATCGGCACGTCGTCGGGCCTCTGCGTCCCGCGCACGCGGTTCGCGCCGGCGGGAGGGTCCGGGCCGCACAGGGCAAGATGCTCCGTGATGTTGGCGACGATCTGTCTCCGGTGGACGGACGGGCCCAACGCGGCGCCGTTTTCGCACGCCCCGTGGCCCAGCGGCGCCCGCCGGCCCGGCGCGGGCCCCGCCATGCCGTCAGTCGGGCCCCCGTCGTCGCCCCCGTGGGCGCTCGGCGCCGGCGGCGAGCGGGGCCCCGGGTCGGTCCGGCACCGGCCCAGTTGGCCCTCCGCGCCGCGCGGGCCCTCGCGGGCGGCAGCGGCGCCGGAGCACACGTAAGTGAGCAGCAGCTTGCCCACGATGGCCTTGCCCTGCGGGGGGGTACGCTCGGAGCGCGGAGGGAGCGGCGCGCCGTAGAGCGCCGGCGGCCGGAGATCCTCGTCGCATGGCGACGAGGACGGCCGCGGCGGCGGTGGCGCCTCCGGTGCCGCCGTCACGCCCCCCGCGGGACGGTCCGGGTGGCGCGCCCCCTCCTCGCGATCCCGGCTCGTGGGGGGCAGCTCCGAAATGTTGAACCTCATGACTGAAGCGCCGGCGAGGAGGGGGGGCTCACGCTGTAGAGGCCGAGGTGTCCAGCGGGGCCACGGTCCGGGCGAGGCCTGCGCGGTCACGCGGGGACGTCGCACGGGGATACTCAAGAATCACTCGCGCCGCTCAGCAGAATGCGAGGAATGCAAGCGGTAGGCAGACTACACGCCGCCAATCAGCTACACCACTTCCTGTTACGTTGAATCGCAGAGACCCGTGGACTTGCAGAGAGGCCCGCAGACTCGCGCAGGGACTCACAGACTCACACACAGTCCAGGAGACCGTCAGAGATTCAAAGACTCGCTAGAGGCCCGCAGGCTGGGACGCCAGTTTCCTCTCGGCTAACACGGCCGACCGGTGGCTGGGCCTCACCTGTTGGGGCCTCACCTGCTGGGGCCCTGCACGGCGGGCCACGCGCCATCACCACCACCGTCACTCCGGGGGGGCGCTCGCCGCATCGGCCCCCTCTTCCTCCCCTCCTCCTGAAGGACAATATAAAAGCGGAGTTCGTCACTGCCATGTCCACCTCGCGATTCGATATTTTTCACCATACCTCTCCCTCTCAACTCACTCTGGTCCTCTGGCTTCACACACACAGTCCCCTCTCAACTCACCCTGGTCGCCTGGCTGCACACACACAGTCCCCTCTCAACTCACCCTGGTCGCCTGGCTTCACACACACAGTCCCCTCTCCACTCACCCTGGACTCCTGGCTGAACACACACAGTCCCCCCTCCACTCACCCTGGTCGCCTGGCTTCACACACACAGTCCCCTCTCCACTCACCCTGGTCGCCTGGCTTCACACACACAGTCCCCTCTCCACTCACCCTGGTCGCCTGGCTTCACACACACACAGTCCCCTCTCAACTCACCCTGGTCACCTGGCTTCACACACACAGTGCCCTCTCCACTCACCCTGGTCGCCTGGCTGAACACACACATAGCCCCCTCTCCACTCACCCTGGTCGCCTGGCTTCACACACACAGTGCCCTCTCCACTCACCCTGGTCGCCGAGACGACTCCCTGGTGCTGTGGCAAGTGCTCAGTGCATGCGAGGCGCAGCAAGTGTGACACTCTGATCGCATTGCGCGTGCGGGCCCACAGCATCGCTGCCCTCGCTGCCCCGAGTGTTGATCATTCCGTTCCGGAATCCACCGCATTGTCCCCCCCAGCCCCTCCCCCGTGCGTGAGTCACGATTTTTGTCAGCGTGCATCATCGAACCGCATTCTTGCGATGCCGAATGTCGCTTCCGTAACACCACCACACTCCACAGTCCCCGTCACCGGGCGAGACAAACTCACCGTGATGATTCCTGAAGCTCAGCAGATGTGCTCCACTCACTCGCCCATCCACTCACTCGCCATGCGGAGAACCCGGTCCACCACCCACTCGTTCACCCACTCACTCGTTCACCGACTGTCACTCGTATTGACTATGAGCACCCACGTGTCCCGTGGTGTGCGTATGTATTGGGCACGCGTGGATCGATGATCGATCCGTCGTTTAGAGTCGGGGTTCTACAGCGTACCCAGCTGCGTGCAACGGGTCCCACGTGACACTGCAGCCACTGGGGGTGCTACCATTCACCGCTTTGCTTGAAGCGGCATCAGCAGCATCAGTGGCAGTAGCAGTAACAGCTACTACACCCCCACCTCCACACCACTCTGCTACTACACCCCTGCCTCCACACCACACCTGCTACACCACCACCTCCACACGCACCTGCTACACTACCACCTCCACACCCGCTACTACACCACCACCTCCACAACCACACCCGCTACTACACCACCACCTCCACACCACCCCTGCTACTACACCACCACCTCCACACCACCCCTGCTACTATACCACCAATTCCACACCACCCCTGCTACTACACCACCTCCACACCACACCTGCTACTACACCACCACCTCCACACCAGCTACTACACCACCACCTCCACACCACACCTGCTACTACGCCACCACCACCTCCACACCACACCAGCTACTACACCACCACCTCCACACCACACCTGCTACTACACCACCACCTCCACACCAGCTACTACACCACCACCTCCACACCACACCTGCTACTACACCACCACCTCCACACCAGCTACTACACCACCTCCACACCAGCTACTAAACAACCACCTCCACACCACACCAGCTACTACACCACCACCTCCACACCACACCTGCTACTACACCACCACCTCCACACCAGCTACTACACCACCACCTCCACACCAGCTACTACACCACCACCACCACCACCACCACCTCCACACCACCCCTGCTACTACACCACCACCTCCACACCACTTCTGCTACTACACCTCCACAACAACAACCGCCATTCGCCACTAAGTGGCGGTGACGTCACCACGACGCTTGTGCCAGGCCATGTGCACCTTGAGGCCACGTGAAGTGTCGAACGCCCGCTGGCAGGAGGTCACAGGGCAGACCCAAGTGCCACGGGTCGACTGACTAAGATGACTGAGATGACTGGCTGATGCACCACCTGTGCCCCCTACTGTGCCAACCTGCTGTGCTTTAGCCACCCGGCGCCCCGCTCATTGTTGTGAGCGTCGCTCCTCCGCCCTCCGTTGTTGTTGGAGGGCGACTGCCTCCAACTGTCCAGTAGCGTCCTTCACGAGCCTCCTCCACAGAGGCCGATCTTGACACCGCTGGTACCAGTCATCGGCAAGTCCACTCAGCTCCAAGTCCTCCTGTACCACATCACTCCATCTCTTCTCTATCCCGTGCCGCGCCCGTTTAGCCCCCTCGATCCGGCCGACCTGAAGCTTAGTGCGGAGCGACAGACCAGGTAGCTTCCACACAGCGTCACGCAACCGATGAAAAGATATTGCCGCTCGACTGATTCGGAGTGAGACCTCTGCTGTTAAACTGAAGCCGGTCATAAGCACACTGCCCAGATATGGGAAACACTGCCCGATCACCGATTAGGAGTTGTGGGGGTGGAGTGTCCGATGGTACAAAATACGCAGGCAGGTGCTTAGTTTTGGTGGGGCTGATGGTAAGGCCCCATCTCTTAGTGGCACGCTCCAGTCGCAGCAGCAGTGTCTCCAACTCCTCCTCTGAATGAGCAGCTATTACCAAATCATCAGCATACATAACGTGGTTGAGCAATAGGGAGCCATCCCTTGACCGCACCCGGGCATCGATCAGCCTTCCCATTATATCTGTACCAAATGGAGATTTCCCCGGTACAGCTATTGAAGGCTTCACGAACTACGTGGTCAAAATAGATGTTAAATAATGTGGGAGCCAGAGGACATCCCTGTCGCACCCCAAGGTGTACAGGGAATGGCTCTGACTCCCAGCCACGTAGTTTTACCCGGGCCCGCTCACCATCATGAAGGTTCTTAATGATCGTGAGCAGAGGGTCAGGGCCTCCAAAAGCACGAAGAACAACCCAGAGCCCAGGCCTACTGATGGTATCATAGGCCTTGACCAGGTCAATAAAGCAGAGATGTAGGTCTTGCTGGAATTCCCTACACCTCTGCTGTAGCAAACGGGCAGAAAATATGGCATCTGTGCAGGACCGCTCTTTCCAGCTCCACACCAGCTACTACACCACCACCTCCACACCACACCTGCTACCACACCACCACCTCCACACCACACCTGCTACCACACCACTCCTGCCACTACACCACCACCTCCACACCACACCTGCTACTACACCACTCCTGCCACTACACCACCACCTCCACACCACCCCTGCCACTACACCACCACCTCCACACCACCCCTGCTACCACACCACTCCTGCCACTACACCACCACCTCCACACCACACCTGCTACTACACCACCACCTCCACACCACACCTGCTACCACACCACTCCTGCCACTACACCACCACCTCCACACCACCCCCACTGTGGCAGCTGCCTCTGGGCCTCAAGAGCGTCACGTGCCGGTGTTCGTTACCCGAGACAGTTGGACGTGAGGAAAACCGGTTTTTACCGGTTTATTCACGCGATTACCGGTAACGCAATCGATTCGTTTAAACCGCCCTACCGCTTGGCGCACTGTAACCCACACCAACCGGTAACCGCATGGAGAAATAAGACCGGTTACCGGTTTGACGCACTCAAGGAAATGAGCGAGCGTGGGAGCAAGCAGACACGGGGGGTGGGGGTCTCCGTCACCCCGGCGCCGCGGAACCCGGTGTCCAACCGTGACGTCGCCGGCTCGGGGGGTGGGGGGGTGACGAGGACTCCGCTGTTGGGTTGGTAGCGGCGCGCGGTCTCAGCACGCGGCGTCAAATGCCGGCTCGGTGGCTCCTGTTGGAGCAGCGAGACTGGGAACAGCTGATCACGTACGGAGGGGGGAGGGGGCGGTGGGGGGAGGGAGAGGGGGGAGGGAGAGGGGGGAGGGAGAGGGGGGAGGGAGAGGCGGGGAGAAAGGAGGGGGGGTGCAAGACAGCGTCAGAGGGAGAATGAGAGAGACGTGTGTATTGTGTAGTGACATCGCTGGATGTCACCAGGCTCTAAGCGAGGTGCCGGCCCTACAGGACAGGGTGTGGGTGCCGACCAAAGGGGAAGGTCGGGTGAGGCCATGGCACTCTGGTTGACCCGGGAGGACACGTGACCGGTTAAGACTACAAAGGGGGGCCCCAAGAGGGGGCTAGGGGGGTCACGTGATTGGGACCCAGATCCTTCCCGGGGGTTCTAGAAGGTGGACGTGGCCAAGGGCGGAGGTGGTCACGCCGCAGAGAATATAAGCCGGGTCCCGAGAGGGACCGGGGTTGTTCATCCTGGGAAAGAACCCTTCATATTCTTAGCTCTTTCGGTAAAGTCACGTTACCGAAAGAGCTAAGAATATGAATCACTGCAGTCACGAAAGCTTTAAATCAAAAGAACCCTTCGTCTACGATCTCCGTTCTACGAGTCTTCCAGCACGTGGACCCGGGCAGATGCTGTTGGTCCCGGGTCCGTAGTAACAGTTACGTGGTAACTAGTGTAGCAACTAGTGTGGTAACTAGTGTGGTAACTAGTGTGGTAACTAGTGTAGTAACTAGTGTGGTAACTAGTGTAGTAACTAGTGTAGTACCTAGTGTGGTAACTAGTGTGGTAACTAGTGTAGTAACTAGTGTGGTAACTAGTGTAGTAACTAGTGTGGTAACTAGTGTGGTAACTAGTGTAGTAACTAGTGTGGTAACTAGTGCGCTTGCGACAACCGAGGGACACTGGGAGCCGCGGGAATTCCACCTCCCGATGAAACTCAGCTCCCCGCGGCGACAGCAGCAGCAGCAGTGCCGGCACACATTGGGAAGCAGCAGCAGCAGAGCAGCAGCAGCAGAGCAGCAGCAGCAGAGCAGCAGCAGCAGAGCAGCAGCAGCAGAGCAACAGCAGCAGAGCAACAGCAGCAGAGCAACAGCAGTACAGCACAGAAACACGGCAGCACAGAAACACGGCAGCACAGAAACACGGCAGCACAGAAACACGGCAGCACAGAAACACGGCAGCACAGAAACACGGCAGCACAGAAACACGGCAGCACAGAAACAGCAACAATACAGGAACACAGCAGAAACACGGCAGCACACAGGAACACAGCAGCACACACAGGAACACAGCCGTTACATGGCAGCACACACAGTAACATGGCAGCACACACAGGAACACAGTAACACGGCAGCACACACAGGAACACGGCAGCACACAGGAACACAGCAGTAACATGGCAGCACACACAGGAACACAGTAACACGGCAGCACACACAGGAACACGGCAGCACACAGGAACACAGCAGTAACATGGCAGCACACACAGGAACACGCCAGTTACATGGCAGCAACAACCGACATTCGCCACTAAGTGGCGATGACGTCACCACGACGCTTGTGCCAGGCTATGTGCACCTTGAGGCCACGTGAAGTGTCAAACGCCCACTGGCAGGAGGTCACGGGGCAGACCCAGGTGCCACGGGTCGACTGAGATGACCGGCTGATGCACCACCTGTGCCCCCTACTGTGCCAACTTGCTGCGCCGCTCGTTGTTGTGAGCATCGCTCCTCCACCCTCCGTTGTTGTTGGCGGGTGACTGCCTCCAACTGCCCAGCAGCGTCCTTCACGAGCCTCCTCCACAGAGGCCGATTTTGACAGTGCTGGTACCGGTCATCGGCAAGTCCACTCAGCTCCACATCCTCCTGTACCACATCACTCCATCTCTTCTCTAGCCCATGCCGCGCCCGTTTAGCCCCCTCTATTCGGCCGAACAAAAGCTGTTTCGGCATGCGGTGGCTGGGCATGCGGGCTACATGACCCAGCCAACGCAGCCTTGCCTGCCGGAGCTCACCAATGAGACTTTGCCCAGATCTTTCAAGGATTTGTGAGCTCCTCACACAATCCAGCCTGGTTAAACCCAAGATGGATCGTAGGCAGGCCAGCCGAAATGTTTCTAATCGGCGAAGATGCTCCATTAGGGGGGTCCACGTTTCGCAAGCGTAGAGAAGAGAGGGAATGACCGTTGCCGAGAAGACTTGAAGCTTCATGCGGAGCGACAGACCAGGTAGCTTCCAAACAGTGTTACGCAACCGATGAAAAGATAATGCCGCTCGACTGATTCTGAGTGAGACCTCTGCTGTCAAACCGGCCGGTCATGAGCACACTGCCCAGTTATGGGAAACTCTTCACTCTCTTCACAACTGCCCCATCACCAATTGGGAGTTGTGGGGGTGGAGTGCCCGATGGTACAAAATACCCAGGCAGGTGCTTAGTAATGGTGGGGCTGATGGTAAGGTCCCACCTCTTAGTGGCATGCTCCAGTTTTAGCAGCAGCGCCTCCAACTCCTCCTCTGAGTGAGCGGCAATTACCAGATCGGCTTGCATAACGTGGTTGACCAATAGGGAGCCATCCCTTGACCGCACCCGGGCATCGATCAGCCTCCCATTGTATCTGTACCAGATGGAAATTCCTCTGGTACAGCCATCGAAGGCTTCACGAACTACGTGGTCGAAAAAGATGTGAAATAATGTGGGAACCAGAGGACATCCCTGTCGCACCCCAAGGTGAACAGGGAATGGCTCCGACTCCCAGCCACGTAGTTTTACCCGGGCCCGCTCACCATAATGAAGGTCCTTAATGATCGTGAGCAGAGGGTCAGGGACTTCGAAAGCACGAAGAACAACCCAGAGCCCAGGCCTACTGATGGTATCATAGGCCTTGACCAGGTCAATAAAGCAGAGATGTAGGTTTTGTTGGAACACCTCTGCTGTAGCAAACGGACAGAAAATATGGAATCTGTGCAGGACCGCCCTTTTTTTAAACCACATTGAGGCTCCGCAAGCCTCTCCTCAGCGTGCCTGGCAAGGCGATGTTGAATAATCCTTGCCAGGACCTTTCCCGGCACACTGAGGAGTAAGATGCCCCTGTAGTTGTTACAGTCTGTGTGGTCCCCCTTCTTAAAGAGGGGGACCACCAGGGCATCCTTCCAATCCTGCGGAACCCGTCCAGTCGTCCAGACTGTTGTTATGATGTCATATAGGGCAGTCTGTGTACAAACGCCACCCTCCCTCAGCATTTCGCTTGGGAGATCATCTCTGCCCGGTGCCTTTCCTGGTCTCAGACTCTGGATCGCCTGTAGTACTTCCTCAACAGATGGCACCTCAGCCAGCCACTTACAGGGGGTGACTTCTTCACACACAGTAACACACACAGGAACACAGCAGTAACACAGCAGCAATACAGATACACAACAGCAGCACAGTAGTGGCAGTGATTGCAGAGCGAGGGGAGGAGGATGCGTGGGGCGCTGTCTCTTCGTGCGGACACTTTAGAAGCAGAGGGGGGGCAGTGGGAACTTTGTGCTCCTTGGCTCCCCCCAATACGACTCCGGGTGAATCAATGAGCAGGGGCCTCGAGCCAAGGCAACGCGGGGACACGGCGAGGAGACACGGCAGGGAGGGGTGGGTGCAGGGGGATTGGCGGTGTCAGCGGTGTACTGGGATTGTGACAATACAGCACAACACAGCACAACACCGTGTACACATGCCGTAGCGATGGAACAGCGTGAATTGATGATCACCATAGCAACATAGACACCAATAGCACACGCCGCAGGGAAATGCTACGGCAACAATGGACGCTGTAGGGCATGTGTGTCCCGATTGGCTGTGCGTAGGCATTCTGGGTCATTTGATTTAAGAATCGGATCTTGGTTCATCTCATCAGCTCTGTCTCGTTCGCTCTCTCTCGTCCGTTCGGTCCCCTCAGTGTCGTCCGCTCCATCCCCTCCATCCTGTCCGCTGTGCAGTCCCTGTTCGCTGTCCCGTCCGCTCTGTCCCGTCCGCTCTGTCCCGTCCGCTCTATCCCGTCCGCTCCATTCCCTCCTTCTCGTCCACTCAGTTACGATCGTATGTATGTTGAATTTATTTTGCACCATAAGTAGCCAACTGTGCTAATCGGAGGTGCGGTCGGCCAGTAACAAACAACCCTATTGAAGGTTAATACATTGAGGGCGTCAAGTGATTGGTGACAAGATGCCAAGCAGGTGCTTCGTTTTGGTGGGGCTGATGGTAAGGCCCCACCTCTAAGCGGCATGCTCCAAGTTCAGCAGGAGAGCCTCCAACTCCTTCTCAGAGTGAGCAGTAATTACCAGATCATAAGTATACAGAACATGGTTCACCAATAGGGAGCCATCCCTAGACCGCACCCGGGAATCGATCAGTCTCCCACTATGTCTATACCAGATGGAAATTCCTCCAGTACAGCCATGGAAAACTTCTCAAACTTGCTTAGTCAAAAAAGATGTAAAAAAATTTGGGAGCCAGAGGTCATCTCTGTTGCACTCCAAGGTGAACAAGGAATGGCTCTGACTCCCGGCCACGTAGCTTTACCCTGGCCTGCTCACCGTCACGAAGGTCCGTAATGATTGTGAGCAGAGAGTCAGGCCCTCTGAAAGCACGAAGAACAACCCAGATCCCTGGCCTATTGATGGTATCTCCGCGTCTCCGATTAGCACGGCTGGCTATGTACCATGCCTTGACCATGTCAACACCTTTATCACAGAAACTTTGAACGATTTAGACCGCAGGATACCAATTAAATACATAATACGCTACAAAGTCATCATTATCATCGGATTAACATACAGCAATACACAACCAAGCTCCTGTACCTTACATCATATATTAAACTATTTCTTATTTTACCAGGTAAGGGCCACTGAGCTATGTAGCTCTTTTTTAGAAGCGACCTGGCCACAAATGATAGCTCAACGAAGTGGCTTATCACGTGGACATTTATAGCAGCAAAATACTCTAAATGTGGAGAACATGCAAACTCAAAAAATACAGCAGGCGTCAGGGTCGAACGCACGACCTCCTGCATACCAGGCAATAGAGTTAACATATCGCCACCGCAGCGCCCTGCAAATCAAGCAAAGCAATATATCACTTCGCTCTCCAACCCAATCACTCCTCCAACCACCAACACACAAACCACGTGGTTGGACAGATCTTTCTCATTGGCAGTAGCGCGCCTTTTCAAGAACCTCCTGGCAGGAGTCCGCACATTCGACTCCACAAAAACAACAAAGATCCCCCGTATAGCCTTAGCAGACTGCCGGGGCAAGTGCCACATTCACAGTCACAACTTAACAACACCGCGCTTTGCACTTGAATACAACTAACTCACAGCCAGAACTTTTTTTTTATATTTTAAACAACCGTAAATAGTCCGTAAATATCTATTTATTTTCTGATCGTTTTAGAATTGTTCATGTTATGTTTGGGTCTGAGTTTTAATGGGACGATGGCGCTTTGAGTGGCTGATTTGTGCCAGAAATGCGCCACGTGCGTCAACAAAATTAATCTTAACTCAACCACCGATCCACTCACCCACCTACTGCAGTATATAATTATCTGTGTTTATGTTGAGTATTAATGAGATGATGGCGCTTTGAGTGGCAGATTTGTCCCAGCAATGCGCCACGTGTGTTACCAAAAATAACATTCACTCGACTTGGCTTCGATGACTTCAGCAACACGCATGTGCACATACACGTGTGTGTACTGCCCACGTGTGTGTACTGCCCTTGGCGTACGCACCACAAACGGCACAGTACTCACTACACCCCCACACAGCATACACGCTGCAGAGCACACCCCCACAGCACACAGCACTTCACAGTACACCCCACACTGTGCACGTCACAACGAAGACTACATTCGCCGCACAGTACACAGTGACAGTACTCACGGTAGTGACAGTACACAGTGAGACAGTACACACGGTAGTGACAGTACACACGGTAGTGACAGTACACAGTGAGACAGTACACAGTGACAGTACACACGGTAGTGACAGTATACAGTGACAGTACTCACGGTAGTGACAGTACACAGTGAGACAGTACTCACGGTAGTGACAGTACACAGTGAGACAGTACACACGGTAGTGACAGTACACACGGTAGTGACAGTACACAGTGAGACAGTACACACGGTAGTGACAGTACACACGGTAGTGACAGTACACAGTGAGACAGTACACACGGTAGTGACAGTACACACGGTAGTGACAGTACACAGTGAGACAGTATACACGGTAGTGACAGTACACACGGTAGTGACAGTACACAGTGAGACAGTACACACGGTAGTGACAGTACACAGTGAGACAGTACACAGTGACAGTACACACGGTAGTGACAGTATACAGTGACAGTACACACGGTAGTGACAGTACACAGTGAGACAGTACACACGGTAGTGACAGTACACACGGTAGTGACAGTACACAGTGAGACAGTACACACGGTAGTGACAGTACACACGGTAGTGACAGTACACAGTGAGACAGTATACACGGTAGTGACAGTACACACGGTAGTGACAGTATACAGTGACAGTACACACGGTAGTGACAGTACACAGTGAGACAGTACACACGGTAGTGACAGTATACAGTGACAGTACACACGGTAGTGACAGTACACAGTGACAGTACACACGGTAGTGACAGTATACACGGTAGAGACAGTACACAGTGAGACAGTACTCACAGTAGTGACAGTACAGTGACAGTACACACGGTAGTGACAGTACACACGGTAGTGACAGTACACAGTGAGACAGTACACACGGTAGTGACAGTACACACGGTAGATACAGTACACAGTGAGACAGTACACACGGTAGTGACAGTACTCACAGTAGTGACAGTACAGTGACAGTACACACGGTAGTGACAGTACACACGGTAGTGACAGTACACAGTGAGACAGTACACACGGTAGTGACAGTATAAACGGTAGATACAGTACACAGTGAGACAGTACACACGGTAGTGACAGTATACACGGTAGTGACAGTACGCAGTGAGACAGTACACAGTGACAGTACACACGGTAGTGACAGTACACAGTGAGACAGTACACAGTGACAGTACACACGGTAGTGACAGTATACAGTGACAGTACACACGGTAGTGACAGTACACAGTGACAGTACACACGGTAGTGACAGTATACACGGTAGAGACAGTACACAGTGAGACAGTACTCACAGTAGTGACAGTACAGTGACAGTACACACGGTAGTGACAGTACACACGGTAGTGACAGTACACAGTGAGACAGTACACACGGTAGTGACAGTACACACGGTAGTGACAGTACACAGTGAGACAGTACACACGGTAGTGACAGTACACAGTGAGACAGTACACATGGTAGTGACAGTACACAGTGACAGTACACACGGTAGTGACAGTACACAGTGAGACAGTACACATGGTAGTGACAGTACACAGTGACAGTACACACGGTAGTGACAGTACACACGGTAGTGACAGTACACACAGTACTCATAGTACATACGGTAATGACTAAACACGGTAGTGACAGTATACACAAATGCAGTAGTGACAGTACACACAGTACAGACCGAGTAGAGCGCTGGGCCGACAGTACACACGAGTACATACAGTAGCGGAGTATGTATAGTACACACAGTAGCTACCGTACACACTATACACAGGAGTGACTGTACATCCAAGTACAGTAGTGACAGTACACACAGTAGCTACCGTACACAGTATACACAGGAGTGACGGTACATCCAAATATAGTAGTGATAGTATACATAGTGACACACACACAGTATACACAGTAATGACAGTACACACAATAGCGTCAATGTGTACAGTACACACAGTGGTGATAGTACATTCATTACATAGAGTGACAGTACACACAGTAGTGACCTACATACAGTACACACAGGAGTGAGAGTACACACAGTAGCGGCAGTATATACAGTGTACACAGGAACGACAGTACACACAGTAGTGACAGTACACATTAGTGACAGTATGTACAGTACACACAGTAGTGTCAGTATGTGCAGAACACACCGGTGCGACAGTACACACAGTAGCGACAGTACACAGTAGTGGCAGTATGTACAGTACACACAGGATCGACAGTACACACAGTAGTGACCTACACACAGTCGTGACAGTACACACAGTACACACAGGAGCGACAGTACACACAGTAGTGTCAGTATGTACAGTACACACCGGAGCGACAGTCCACACGTTAGTGTCAGTATGTACAGTACACACAGGCGCGACAGTACACACAGGAGCGACAGTACACACAGTAGTGTCAGTATGTACAGTACACACAGGAGCAACAGTACACACAGTAGTGACAGTATGTAAAGTACACAGGAGCGACAGTACACAGTGACAGTATGTACAGTACACACCGGAGCGACAGTACACAGTGACAGTATGTACAGTACACAGGAGCGACAGACCACACAGTAGTGGCAGTATGTACAGTACACACCGGAGCGACAGTACACAGTAGTGACAGTATGTACAGTACACAGGAGCGACAGTACACACAGTAGTGGCAGTATGTACAGTACATACCGGAGCGACAGTACAGACAGTAGTATCAGTATGTACAGTACACAGAAGCGACAGTACACACATTAGTATCGATATGTACAGTACACACCGGAGCGACAGTACACACATTAGTGTCAGTATGTACAGTACACACAGGCGCGACAGTACACACAGGAGCGACAGTACACACAGTAGTGACAGTATGTAGAGTACACACCGGAGCGACAGTACACACAGTAGTGACAGTATGTACAGTACACACAGGAGCGACAGTACACATTAGTGTCAGTATGCCCAGTACACACAGTAGTGTCAGTATGTACAGTACACACAGGAGCGACAGTACACATTAGTGTCAGTATGTCCAGTACACACAGTAGTGTCAGTATGTACAGTACACACAGGAGCGACAGTACACACATTAGTGTCAATATGTACAGTACACACCGGAGCGACAGTACACACATTAGTGTCAGTATGTACAGTACACACCGGAGCGACAGTACACATTAGTGTCAGTATGTCCAGTACACACAGTAGTGTCAGTATGTACAGTACACACAGGAGCGACAGTACACACATTAGTGTCAGTATGTACAGTACACACCGGAGCGACAGTACACATTAGTGTCAGTATGTCCAGTACACACAGTAGTGTCAGTATGTACAGTACACACAGGAGCGACAGTACACACATTAGTGTCAATATGTACAGTACACACCGGAGCGACAGTACACACATTAGTGTAAGTGTGTACAGTACACACCGGAGCGACAGTACACATTAGTGTCAGTATGTCCAGTACACACAGTAGTGTCAGTATGTACAGTACACACAGGAGCGACAGTACACACATTAGTGTCAGTATGTACAGTACACACCGGAGCGACAGTACACATTAGTGTCAGTATGTCCAGTACACACAGTAGTGTCAGTATGTACAGTACACACAGGAGCGACAGTACACACATTAGTGTCAGTATGTACAGTACACACCGGAGCGACAGTACACACATTAGTGTCAGTATGTACAGTACACACCGGAGCGACAGTACACATTAGTGTCAGTATGTCCAGTACACACAGTAGTGTCAGTATGTACAGTACACACAGGAGCGACAGTACACACATTAGTGTCAGTATGTACAGTACACACCGGAGCGACATTACACAGTCGTGGCAGCGTGTACAGTACAGACAGTACTCGCAGTATGTACAGTACACACAGGAGCGACAGTACAGACCGAGCAGTGAACCGGTCCGCGTCTCTCTGCTCGCAACCGAACTCCAACCCCTCCCACCCGGGCGCGAGGACACCGCGTACCCGACAAGAAGGGGGCCCCCTAGGGGCACTCCCGCCTCCATCGTGTCCACAAAAGACGCGACGGACAATTCACAATTACACGCACTCCCAAAACTGCTTCTCGGTGCATGCTAATAACGACTTCGAGTGTCAATTCGCCAAGCGAAGCTCATGTAACTCGCCAGATATGCCTTGTAATGTCCTAAAAAAAACGCTGCCGGATAAGTATCACGGGTAAATGCCAATGCATAGAGACTTAAACCATATCTGGTCATCGCACCCAAAATCTTTCTGCACAACGAGTGCCAGAAAGCCACTCAAATTTTCGTCGTGCACAACAATGACATATTGGGCGGACAACCCCTCTCTCTCCAAACACCTCTCCCCCCCCCCCTCTCTCTCTCCCAAAACCTCTCCCCCCCTCTCCCCCCCCTCTCTCTCCCAAAACCTCCCCCCGCCCCCTCTCTCTCCCCCCCCCTCTCCCCCCCCCCTCTCTCTCCCCCCCCCCTCTCTCTCCCCCCCTCTCTCTCTCCCCCCCTCTCTCTCTCCCCCCCCTCTCTCTCCCCCCCCCTCTCCCCCCCCCAAACAAAATGCGACGACGATCGAAGCGAACAGAGAAAAAAATTCGCTCGTTGTCGATGCGGCTTTGCCGTACGTCGCGACCCCCCTCCTCCCACCCCCCGTGCGGGTCCCCCCACCCCACCCTTCCCCGCTCGCGTGCGCGCGCGCGAGGAACAGCTGTTTCCGGGGCCGGAGCTCGGGCACGTGGAGCCGTGGCAGCAGCAGCAGCCCAGCCCAGTCCACGAGGGTCGCTCGCTCCCCGCTATCGTTGCTTGATTTGAGCCACTTTTTCTCTCTTAACGGTTTCCATGGCGACAGGATTTGTTTGCCATGGCGGGGGGGGGGGACTGAGTTACTAGCAAACTCCAGCAGCGACTTTTTGAGACAAGGGCGGAATTCTGCGGGAGTTTCAGGAGCGATTGATTGCGGCTCGTGTCCGCCGCGCTGTGCGTGGTTAACGCGGTGCAGCTGCATGTGGTGAGCTGTGTCGGGGAAACGGGGGGGGGGGCGGGAACTGGAGCGGTGTGGTGTGAGGATCCCCAGTTTCCACTGTGGGGGTTGCGACTCGGTGAATGCGTCTTGGTTGTGGGGTCCGTCTAGCGACGTGACAGGGGGTCTGGCAACTCTCCGGGGGCTGTCGACGCAGGGGGCACTACTCGGCGTGAGACTCTCATCGCGTGTGGAGCGTGAGAATCACTGTCTTGGTGGCGTTGGCATATCGACGCCCCCACCCCTCCATCCCTCTCACCCCCCCCCCCCTGCCCATGAGACATTCCCGAACACTCGGTGCAGCAACATCGTCATCAATCGGCCATGCTCATTCCACTGCTGGATGAAGGCGCCCCCCCCTTCCCTTCCCCCATAAGCTGCTGCCACCTCTCACGATTCCGCGACGTAATAACAGCCGGGGCCGCAAGAGCGGATCGAGTCGCTCCGTCTCCAACGGTGAACGCCCTTACAGGCCACCGGTCCCCGTCCAGCCACGGCCGTGCGAGGCCACCCTAGGGCCCCCCTAGGGACCCCCCCCCCTCCCCCTTTGCTCTTCGCTTGTCGCACTACCCGTGGCATCATGCGCAGGCTGGCAAGCCCCCGTCCAATCCTCCGATCCACACCGGAATGTTTTTCCCTTTATTTTCTCACTGCCCCCGCTCGACTGAGCCGCTCCGTTTGCGCAGCTCGGGGAAAATGCCCACCCGGCACCACCAACAGCACCACCATCAGCAACACCACCAACACCAGCAGCACCACCAGCAGCACCACCAGCAGCACCACCAGCACCACCACCAGCAGCACCACCACCACTAGCAGCACCCACCAGAACCACCAGCAGCACCACCACCACTAGCAACACCACCACCACTAGCACCACCAGCAGCAGCACCACTACCAACACCACCACTAGCACCACCAGCAGCACCACCACTAGCACCACCAGCAGCACCAGCAGCACCACCACTAGCACCAGCAGCACCAGCAGCACCACCACTAGCACCACCAGCAGCACCACCAGCAGCACCACCACTAGCACCACCAGCAGCACCACCAGCAGCACCACCACTAGCACCACCAGCAGCACCACCAGCAGCACCACCAGCAGCACCACCACTAGCACCACCAGCAGCACCACCAGCAGCAGCGTCTCACGCCGAGAACCGGGCAACCTCACGCGAGTTCCGTGCGTCCCACGGTGCGCCAGGAGGCAGTGGGGGGTGGGGGTCCGCCGCTTACCAACAACGACGACGGCTTGGGTCTTGCGATGTCTCCTGCCTAATATTCACGTCTTGACAACAGCCGCCGCTGTGCTGCTGCTGCCGTGTCGCAGCGGGCCGAGTGCCAGACGGCGGCTGCCTTGCTACGCAGGCTTGTTGATTAATAGCTAGCGCTGGGAGTCGAGCCCGCGTCGCGCTGGCTGTGTGGCCTTGCAGAGAAGAGGCGACTTGCACTGAGCTCCTCGCCTCCACGGTAGCAGTGGAGCGATGATGGAGGCGAGCGGCAGGGGAAAAATCTGGGCCCGTCAGCCGAGCGGCGCTCTCCTCCTCCCTGTGACGCGCGGCTACGTCCATTACCCTCCCACCATCCCTGACATCACTCCCACCATACCTCACTTCACTCCCACCATCCCTCACTTCACTCCCATCAACACTCACTTCACTCCCATCATCCCTCACTTCACTCCCACCAACCCTCACTTCACTCCCACCAACCCTCACTTCACTCCCACCATCCCTCACTTCACTCCCACCATCCCTCACTTCACTCCCATCAACACTCACTTCACTCCCATCATCCCTCACTTCACTCCCACCAACCCTCACTTCACTCCCACCAACCCTCACTTCACTCCCATCAACACTCACTTCACTCCCATCAACACTCACTTCACTCCGACCTTCCCTCACTTCACTCCCACCATCCCTCACTTCACTCCCACCATCCCTCACTTCACTCCCACCATCCCTCACTTCACTCCCATCAACACTCACTTCACTCCCATCATCCCTCACTTCACTCCCACCAACACTCACTTCACTCCCACCAACCCTCACTTCACTCCCATCAACACTCACTTCACTCCCATCAACACTCACTTCACTCCGACCTTCCCTCACTTCACTCCCACCATCCCTCACTTCACTCCCACCAACCCTCACTTCACTCCCATCAACACTCACTTCACTCCCATCAACACTCACTTCACTCCGACCTTCCCTCACTTCACTCCCACCATCCCTCACTTCACTCCCACCAACACTCACTTCACTCCCACCAACACTCACTTCACTCCCACCAACCCTCACTTCACTCCCACCAACCCTCACTTCACTCCCACCAACCCTCACTTCACTCCCACCATCCCTCACTTCACTCCCACCATCCCTCACTTCACTCCCACCATCCCTCACTTCACTCCCATCAACACTCACTTCACTCCCATCATCCCTCACTTCACTCCCACCAACCCTCACTTCACTCCCACCAACCCTCACTTCACTCCCATCAACACTCACTTCACTCCCATCAACACTCACTTCACTCCGACCTTCCCTCACTTCACTCCCACCATCCCTCACTTCACTCCCACCAACACTCACTTCACTCCCACCAACACTCACTTCACTCCCACCAACCCTCACTTCACTCCCATCAACACTCACTTCACTCCCATCAACACTCACTTCACTCCGACCTTCCCTCACTTCACTCCCACCATCCCTCACTTCACTCCCACCAACACTCACTTCACTCCGACCAACACTCACTTCACTCCCACCAACCCTCACTTCACTCCCACCATCCCTCACTTCACTCCCACCTTCCCTCACTTCACTCCCACCTTCCCTCACTTCACTCCCACCAACCCTCACTTCACTCCCACCAACCCTCACTTCACTCCCACCAACCCTCACTTCACTCCCACCAACCCTCACTTCACTCCGATCTTCCGTCAGCTGGTTAGGGTAGGGGTAGTGTTCGTGGCAGACTAGCTGGTTAAGGGTAGTGCTCGTGGCAGGCTATCTTATTAGGGGTAGTATTCGTGGCTGGCAAGCTGATTCGGAGTACGGTTAGTGTTCGTGCAGCCTACCTGGTTAGGGGTAGTACCCGTGGCAGGCTAGATGGTTTGTGGCAGGGGTAGTGCTCGTGCCAGGCTAGCTGGTTTAGGGTAGGGGTGGTGCTCGTGGCAGACTAGCTGCTTATGGGTAGTGCTCATGGCAGGCTAGCTGCTAAGGGGTAGGGGTAGTGCTTGTGGCAGGCTAGCTGCTTAGGGGTAGGGGTAGTGCTCATGGCAGGCTAGCTGCTTAGGGGTAGTGCTCGTAGCAGGCTAGCTGCTAAGGGGTATGGGTGGTGCTCGTGGCAGGCTAGTTGCTAAGGGGTAGGGGTAGTGCTCGTGGCAGGCTAGCTGCTAAGGGGTATGGGTGGTGCTCGTGGCAGGCTAGTTGCCAAGGGGTAGTGCTCGTGGCAGGCTAGCTGCTTAGGGGTAGGGGTGGTGCTCGTGGCAGGCTAGCTGCTTAGGGGTAGGGGTAGTGCTCGTGGCAGGCTAGCTGCTAAGGGGTAGGGGTAGTGCTCACGGCAGGCTAGCTGCTTAGGGGTAGGGGTAGTGCTCGTAGCAGGCTAGCTGCTTAGGGGTAGGGGTGGTGCTCGTGGCAGGCTAGCTGCTAAGGGGTATTGGGTAGTGCTCGTGGCAGGCTAGCTGCTAAGGGGTGGGGGTGGTGCTCGTGGCAGGCTAGCTGCTAAGGGGTATTGGGTAGTGCTCGTGGCAGGCTAGCTGCTAAGGGGTGGGGGTAGTGCTCGTGGCAGGCTAGCTGCTTAGGGGTAGGGGTAGTGCTCGTGGCAGACTAGCTGCTAAGGGGTAGGGGTAGTGCTCGTGGCAGGCTAGCTGCTATTGGGTAGGGGTAGTGCTCGTGGCAGGCTAGCTGCTATTGGGTAGGGGTGGTGCTCGTGGCAGGCTAGCTGCTTAGGGGTAGGGGTGGTGCTCGTGGCAGGCTAGCTGCTTAGGGGTAGTGCTTGTGGCAGACTAGCTGCTAAGGGGTAGGGGTAGTGCTCGTGGCAGGCTGGCTGCTAAGGGGTAGGGGTAGTGCTCGTGGCAGGCTAGCTGCTAAGGGGTAGTGCTCGTGGCAGGCTAGCTGCTTAGGGGTGGGTGGTAGTGCTCGTGGCAGGCTAGCTGCTAAGGGGTAGGGGTAGTGCTCGTGGCAGGCTAGCTACTAAGGGGTAGTGCTCGTGGCAGGCTGGCTGCTTAGGGGTGGGGGTAGTGCTCGTGGCAGGCTAGCTGTTTAAGGGTAGGGGTAGTGCTCGTGGCAGGCTAGCTGCTA